GAGCAAAGCTCCGTCGCACGGCCCAATCAACCAAAGCGAGCAACTGAGCTTCCTGTTAAAACACACGAAAGGACTCTAAAGCACACTTCACTCTGATTGAGCAGACAAAAACAAAGATTTTCTGGCACCAATCCGATGACAGAACGACTGCGATCGTTTGGAACTAGTCTTTGAAGAAAATGTCCCAAGGGGCTCTTCTGCCCTTAACTTGAAAGCGACTCACAGCCCCTGGGTCTCCGAGGATGGATACTGTGTATGGATATTGTATGGAGAAGTTGCATGTTAATCACTTTTGGGAGTTAAAGAGTTAAACGCATGACATTAGGACACATCATCCCCTGAGCTACAAACAAATATCTTCCACACGTCTATTAAGAATAAATTTTGGTAACATACACGTAAGCTTTATTTACATTCGCGCCTTCGTTTATTTGAATGGTGTATACGCGAGAAGTTCACATTGCTAAACACGTGGGATAGCTTATTACGTAAGCGCGCCACTTGGTTATTCATGCTTTGCGGGCCTACCACTTCTTCCCACCATGCTATTAAAATTTAAAAAGGTAATATACCCGCCATATTAATGTAGTTCATTGTGTTTGGTTTTCCTTTTGATTTGAACCTTTAAACATCCGTTTTGGATGTAAGATTTGGGTATTTGACTGAGCGTTGCAAAGAGTGGCGAAGTTCGTCGTATTTTAAACAAAACTTCTGGACGTTTGAGACACTTTGTAATTTGTTTATTGATTAATTCAGTGTTAGAAAACGTTAACTAATCCAGCCTTGCTGTCGGAGTAACAGTAACGGTTTAAAATTTTGGAGTTTTGGGTAAGTGTTGAATAACAAGGGCTTTATTTTTCAATGTAATGAATCAATGAATGGTTTGATCAGTACTTGTCTACGCCACATCCTTTTAAAACGTGTACCTTACAAAGAATGATTAAAAATGTTAAACTGAAGTTGTGGTTTCCGTTTATTTACCGTTCTTTTTTCAGTTTCTATTATTCCTGTTTTATCTTCCAAACAAAGAAGATCAAAGATTGATCTCCTGTTCGTCAAAATCTATTCCAGCACGGGTGATACTATCCCTGCAAGTGATGGGTAATCTAATTGAAGAGGAAGTGTATTTTTCTGTTAAGTCTGACACTAACCGGTTTTCTGAAAACCGCTTTTCGCCCTTAGATTGGTGTGCATATTGTCCATACTGTTCTCTTTACATCTCCCTAAGCGCTGACAAGGAGTGTGGGGCTTTTAAAGTCTGTGATCTTTTCCTTTATTCTTCTGACCTTAGGTGTGATTCAGGGGTGATATTGTAAGGAGAAATTAGATGCTAGTCACTAAGGGGTCAAACCAAACAAACACAGTAGACTTTTGGTTATTCGGCTCCTCAGGTCATGTGATAACGCTCTAGACAACTGTTGCATGCACATGTAAGCAAAATTTACAAAATATTAAGGGGTAAGCAAAGACGTACAATCATGGCACAGTTAAAGCTAACCAACCAGCGTTCTAAATGATCAAGCAATGATCCCTTAGATTCAACGATCTACCCGGTCCCCACCTTCCACCAGTTCAGAGCTCAAGTTGTTACACTACGCCACGGTTTACCTTGTGTGAGTGGCCTTTCCATTCATAAGATAGAGTAACGTAACACTAGACGTGACCTACATCACGTTGTTTAAATGTCAGCAGAAAACGTTAATTTGTATTGTTTCATATTCATTAATTCCCCAAACTCCCAAAGGAGTATGATATATTGCAAAGTAATTGTGAAATCATCGATGACGGACGATATTTGGAGAGGTTTCCGTCATGGCTGGTAAGTCTTACTTCAGTGCCTCCGTACCCAAGATTGTTGTGCAAAGTTTGTTAAAAAAGTATGACACAGATGAAAATGGTCATCTCAGTAAAAAGGAAGCCCTATGCCTTCTTAAAGACGACCTGGGAATGGATAACAAACAAGCTGAAGCCTGTTACTTGCTTGTTGACAAAGATGGTGGAGGGAGCATCTCGTTTGAGGAGTTTTTCTCTTGGTTTCGAGACGAAAAGGGATTGGAATGCGTTAATGACAAGTCAAGATGCTACTATATCAGTAAAGCTGTGGACGAATTCAAGAAGTATGACAAAGACGGCAATGG